GCTTGTAAGTGATTCTTAAGTTTGTAATTATGTTTGGCCACCACATAAATGGATAACTTATTTGTAATTATTTGAATTGATAAGTTGATTAATTTGTCTAATATCAAATGCTTTGGAATGCGAGTCGGAAGGAGAAAATTACCACATTCGTTTAGACCAAGAAAGGCTTCTTTGCGTAAGTCACTAAATAATTTAATATTATTTAATGGTTCACTACTTGGAACAAATTCAATTTCACTTTGTCTTCTTCTATGTTGTGCACTTTAATTCTTAATTATTTCTTTTCGCTTCGCTTGCTCCAATTAAACCTTATCCTACTATAAAAGCAAATTTTCACAAAATTTGAATTTATTTTCTCGCTATATCTCAGACGTTTTTGTATAGATCGATTTGAAATTTTTACACACTAAACTGCATATAAATCGACCCAAAAAATTTTAATTTAACAACACTTCTTAACACTGATTAAAAACAAAACTAAAGGTTTTCAAACTTTTTTATTAAAATTATGAAGGTGTTTCTTTTTCAAATGCAAGAGTTATGTTATAAAGTTTGATACTTTTCTGCTGTAATCCAGTATTTTAAATGAATATCTAAAGAAATTTTTACGAAAGTTTCAGACTAAAACATCGAGTAGTTTTAAAGCAATAACAATATTATGGTGACGCGCAAAGTTAGCGGTTAAGCGCGCCTTAAAATGCTTTATAATTCAAAAACAAAAAAAAAATACCTTTTTTATTAATGATTTCCATGTAAAAAAAAATCTGATTTTGACGTTGCGGTTTGCTATAAATTCACTGTTCCACCCTACGACCCTACTAACGTTTCATCAAAACGGATGCGATTTGGTTAATTATTTTATTAAATATCATCCTCTGATTACGGTCACCTCATTCATGCATCATTGATTTCGGGTGCTTTCTCTAATTTTTTCAAATTATTTCAAAGAAAATTTATTTATACATACATATGCACATACATATGCACATACATGCAAACATAAACCATTGTCATGAAATTAGTTTCAATTTAAGTTATGAGAACATAGTACTAATCCAATATTGCTGTTTATGCACCACTAATGAGTAAGACACATTGTCGCCTGATCAGTAATTAACAGTTGGTTGAACTCATCAACATAATAATAATTTATGTTAACATTGATAACATTCACTTTTTTTTAAACATAATTGAATTCATGTATGAACATAAGTCGCTACATATGTACGCCGCGTTTAAATTGGCGCCGTCACGTAATTGTCTTTTATCGCTCACATTTAGTGTGACCAGCTAAGCCTTTTCGAGACTAGATTTAGCATCTAGTTTTGGTCTCTAGCCTCAGAATTTTAGCGCTGGCTTTGCGGCTTTTTTCTGGCCTTTTTACTTAAAATAGAAATGTTATAACTACGTAAAATATGAACTTTCTAAAAATTAATTCAATAATTCATATAATACATCTATGCAACGCCATGTGTGTGTTTCAACCCTTAGGTACATATTGCAACCCTGTAGCCTTTAGTTGACATTTCGTCGTAACATGGTAGGCCTACAGCCTTAACTTTCGGGCCATATTGCACATGTCGTTGCCCATTAACCCTTTCTCGGTTTCAACTCCATATTTTTCGTACGAATTCGAGGAATTTTTGAATTCCAATTTAAATGAAGGTAGTATTAATAGCCAAATACAAAGAGTAATTCGTAAAGATTGTCAACCCAATTACGACAACGCCCACCCGTTAATATGAATTCTCTACAAAACATTAATTTTTTTTTCGTTTAAATTTCATTGAAAGTGTAGAGGCAGATATATTTTCTCGCCTTGGAAGAGAGAAGTCTAATTATTCTTCAAGTCAAATAACCTTATTGGAACTGCAATGGCAAAAACTTTCAACAGTACAGTGGGCAAATGTGACCTCTATCATAGAGTTTTGGAAGGTTCGAAAATTTAAAAATTCATTGAACGAAAACCCTTATTCTGAAATTGTAGAATTGGTAGTTACGTTTTTGGTATTAACACTCAGTAATGCTGAAGTGGAAAGAATTTTTAGTGTCATGTAAATTTTTAAAAACTAAGGTTAAATCTGTTCATTTAAAATTAAAATGCTTAACTCGTTGTTTAATATTAAATGCTCATTGAAACGTGTATCCATCTGTTGCTGCGATTTCGAAATTTCCAATGATCTAACCTCTAAGGTTAATTCACAAACTTTATACGCTGATTCAAGCTCTTCTGACTCATCAGATGAAGAGGCATTATATAATTAAGTTATTTGTAGTGTTTTTCTTATTTTATTTAAACTTAAAAAGTTTTCGCGCTGGTCAAGAAAAATTTGTCTGATATGTTATGAAATGTTAGCTGTTCCTTATAGCCATTTTTTTAGTTGTTATTTACAAATCAACGTTAATAAAACAACATGAAATTTGTAAAAAAAAAAATGCTGCCTTTTATTTAGCTTCTTTTTTCCATAGCGTCTAACGTTTTCCATACTTTTTTTAGTTAATTTAGCTTTTATTTTTTTAGTCATCTGGTCACACTGCTCACATTAAAATAATTTATGCGTTTACAAAAACATTTAAATGTGACCGTCAAACCGGCAGTTCACAATTCTCGTAATTTCTACACTTTGATGTACACATAAGTAATATACATAAATAAATATGTATGTATGTATTTTAATGCGCTATGAAATTTTTATTTTTAGGAAATTCGGCGATAGTCAAACTCTTGTTTTGGAATACGTACGCAATTAATTTTTTAAGCTCGGCACTACCTTTTTCAAGAAATTTTAAGTTTTTAGGGCGTGTGTGAATCGGTAACAAAGTTCTTTGGGGAAAGCTGGTGAATTATACTTTTACTATGGACAGACAGTTTTGCCAATCTGCTGTGTGAAATGAAATCTTTTTTGACAACAGCAAACTTTTGACAACCGCAGAATAAAATATCATAAAATATATGAAAAAAAGTGAAATGAATATTTTAAGAAAACATCTACCATCATTGATTGCAATTTAATTAATTTAAACAATTAAAGCGTTTGAAACATTAAAGAAATTTATTTTTCCAGAAACATTTAATGTAGTGTAATACTTCTTAATTTTGCCACCAGAAACTCTATTTCCTTATATTTTATTGTTTTTGCTTAAAGTTGGGGCAGAAAAATTATAGACGTCACAATCTTTTTGATTGCCAAAATTTTATATTCATTTTTAAAAAATTTCACTAGCCTCATGAGCTAGTGAAATTTTATTTACCCCATACTTGTCAAAAATTCACTCGCAGCGACATTTGTTACCGATTCACATACGCGCTTACCAGTATAAAGCCTTGAATTTAAAAATATTTTTGAACAGCGGTCATTCTTCGCTTATCTCTTCTTTATTTCATTTCATTGACGACTCGAATTGGTTTATAATTTGAAAAATAAAATAATTAAATGGTGAAACGTGCCCATTCAGAATTGTAGGCATTGTGAAATGCAAAATATATCAGCTGATTATGACATTAAAAATGTACATACATATCGACACCTTTGTTGCGAATTTGTATTCAAGAAACCACAACCACACCTACTACATAGTATGTACATGTTTATTAGACGTAAACTATTTTTGTAAGGCAATTTTGAAAAACTCATTGTGTTTTTGTCGAATCTAAGGGTCGTCTCTTTACTTTTTTTGGTGCCACGAACGGAGACGCAAGAGTCGGGATTGAGTATATTGGGGCAACTGTAACTCCACACCTAGAACAACGAAAGTGGAAAGACTTTCTGGACTAACGAAAACCGCGAGATGATTTAGAAGAAAATAATTGGAGAGATTTTTGAAAATCTGATCCGTTTGTTACTAGCATAAAAATGATTGAAAAACTAAAAAAAAAAATTATTTTAATTGTATATGAAGACGTTGTTTTTGTCCACTGAACGATGCTGTGCCTAAAAAACTTATATGCGGAATCTGTTCGCAACCCACACACAAGAATAATTATTCGGGTTTTTAAAATTATTGTTTTTTCGCATTACCTCGTTTCGAATCTAGCTTTACAACAGTTCATGGATACTGGTCTAAGCCTTGAAAAATCAACACAAGGATCTGACGCTTATATTATGAATAATTATGAATAAACGATAATTGATAACGAGTAATTAACGCTTTTTATTTTACAAGATTTTATTTAACTTGGTCTGTATACAGGGTGTCCAATAAGTACCACGAGAAACTTAAGGAGAAGTTTTCCGTACAAGATTTTGATATCGGGACGGCAGTATTACTCGTAAGCTAGTACGTCTTTAGTCGCCTTATTATTGCCATCCCTAGGGCCGTGGGCTCAAGTAAACGAGATGTTGTAGGATCTTGCTTTGAAGTTCAATCAGGGGTTTAACAATACTTCATCAAATCGGCGATCAGTAGCACTAACATATGTAAAATATGGTCAGTACTGTGTGGTCCTGTGTGTATGCTCTGTGATCGTCATTAAAAGAAGATAGTTTCATCCGAGGCTTTTGTTTTCTTTTAATTGAATAATTATTATATTATTGTTGTAAACTGAGTTAAAATATAACCACATAACCAGATGACGTGATAAGGCTGAACACCCACACTGTAAAAGCTTAATAAATATGAATTTTTCGCTTTGAGATTTTTTTTTCACTTAAAACATGTTGTATTGTGATGAATAAGTAAACTGCTATTTTTGATCAAAAAATAATCTAAAATCTAAGGTCAGACTTTAACTTATTAATTTGACCCAAAAAATAAAAGTAAAATTTTAATTTTTATATTTGACCGAAAAAATTAAAGTCAAATTTTAATTTTTATTTTTCACCGGAAAAATAAAAGTTATAATATAGCTGTAATTTTGATAAAAATATCGGTAAAAAATAACGGTTATATGCTGACTTTTTTGAAAAAAGTCCCCAAAAGTATAAATCATATTGGATTACAATTCCTTGGCTAACAAGCATCACATTGCTATAAAAAAATTTTAAATAGAAACATTTTTCCCGACTGACTTTTTGAATTGAAATTTCTAAAATAACTATTGTTTTCAATTCCTGGTTTAAACGATTTGGCTTAACTGGGATTTTGTGAGTTAGTGTTCTTTGGCTGCATGAAATTTGTTTAGCTTTCCTTTTTAAAAGATTTTGTACTTCGATTTTACTTGTATGCATTTATGTAACTAGATTGACATAAAAGATTATTATGTGTTATCGTCATTATGAATTTTCATAAACTTGCATTATCGTTAACCCCAATTTCGTTGCTTTAACACTCTTACCAGCTGACATCTGGCATATAAATACATACTTATAATGGTATGCATTTATATGGCTGCTTTGTTTTCGTTTGCCATCATTAACTTGATAGTTTCAGTTTAATTTGTTTGTTTACAATTCGCCAGCCATCGAAAGCGATTGTCGATAAGGCACTTAATGGCAATTACAATTTCAAGTGTTATTTGAATACAGCTATATTGACAAAAAAGAAATAACAAATTATTGATTATTTTAAAGCCACTCAGCTGCGGAGAGTTGTTGAAACAGTAGTGACCACCCTCAATGCGCACAGTTTGTGTTTTGCACGATTGCAATTGTATTCGGGTCAATTGCTGTGCGATACATTCGGTTAGTTTCCATTAAAATAACTATAAATTTCCATCATCAAGCTGTATACGTGCAAGTACTTTGTTAGTTTAGCGGCAATTAAGTGATTGCTAAACGAGTTGCTGTCGATTTGTTTATAATTTTTTTTTATTTTTTTTGCTTCCACGACTGTTGATGTGATTTAAAATAGTTTTTCTTCGTTTTTGCCATTTAAGGCATCACTATTTGTTTACACTTTCGAGAGCAATGCAAATACACTGAAACATTTCAGTGCAATTTATATTTTTTTTTTGCACGCCACATGCGTGATAAGCTCGCAAAGTTTGTGCTTTAGGTACTTGCTCTTAAACGCATCACCCACACAATTGCTGTAAATTTGCACACATGCACACATACTAAGAATTTTAGTCCCGGGATGCCGGCCTTTTTAAGGTCCCATAAATCCTGGGATTCTTGGAAAATAATCCCGGAATTTTCGGGATTTGTAATTTGCACTGAAGGCAACAATAGAAACTTCTTTTCTTGACCAGCATTGGCTATATTTATGTTTTTATTTAATAATAAACAATTTTTTTGTAAATGTCTAGCTCATCATACATATAACACCGCGCGATAGTAAATTTTAAACACATGGGCCAAATATAGTAAAATTGGGTTTTTAGTGTTTCACTCTGACGCCAGTACTTCAAAAATGATCAAAAAAAATTCAGAGAAATGTGCTTAAAGGAGAAGTATGGGTATCAAATTAAAGAAATCCAATAGCACTTAAACAGATTAAAGTTTTTGGTGCAGAAGGACTGGCATCTAAGTATTGAAAATGTAATTTTAAAATTTTATCCTTGAAATTTCGCAATATTTGTTTTAGAAAAATTATATGTTGAGAACTTATTTAAGCTCGGTAACATCCTCGAATTTTGTCCTTTTAATTTTATCAGCTTAAAAAATTACCTATTTGTCCTTGTGAATCCAAAAAATTTAAATTTTTTCAAATTCTAAAGAAATTTCCTCTTTCATTTGGTACCCATATTTTTATTCTAAATACATTGCATTGCATTTTTTAAATAATTTTTGGAATCAATAATATCTTTGAAATTACACAAACCTTTAAAATAAATCATCACATCAGAGAGAAAAAATAAAAACGCCATTTTAAATAAAAAAGTAGGTTTCAAACCCATTTATTTATTTTTTTATTTTATGGCAGGAGAGCTTCTCAAACAATATAGAAGCAATGTTTTCGATTTAAGTTGTTGATTTTGTTGAAAGGTAACAACGACATCTTGAAAAACCCGGGATCGGAAAAAGCTGAAAAATTAACATCCCTAATACATGCATGCCTTCTCCTGATACACCGTTTGTGTAATTTTCAAACAGCTGCATTTTCTCCGCACTCCCCTTCATTCATTTTCAGAGACGCTTAATTTGGCTGGCCGATCTTTTGCCGGACTTTGTGATAATGCAGTCACAGCTATTTTCGGCTTTTGCTGCATTTGCACCTTTTTTTCTTTCTCTTTTTGTAGTCTTTTGCTTTTTCGGGGTCAAGGTGTGGGTTAGCGCACAGCAATTAAGCCGACAGATTGCACAGCTTCAATATTACCGATAAGCTTTCGCTTGTTGCAATTCACAATACCCCACCTCCATCTACATACATACATATATGCTTCTATCTGCGGGGTGGGACGTGTGAAGACTGAATGCCGATTCTTGGGTATAAAAGGCCTAGTGGCATTGGCAAACAGTATGTTTTCGCAAGATGAGAACGTTCACTTTGGTTGTACTTGTAGCGCTGGCGCTATTCGCTAGTGTCTCATCGAAGAATATTGAGTCGAGAACTGCCGACAAGGATTTCCTGATTAAGCAAAAATTCATTTTGGAAATCCTGCAACACGTCTACCAGGACGATGTTTTTATAACTAAATACGACTCCAGCTACTACGAATACAAACCTTGGGAACATGTTGCTGACTATCACAAGCACGAAACGTTGGAGCATTTCTTCGAGCTGTGGCAACACAAGCCTATGCATGATGATGAGATCTTCAGCATCATGTACGAGCGCCATGTTGAGTACGCCGTGGGCTTGTCACGCTTATTCTATTTGGCCAAGGATTGGGAGACCTTCACCCATGCCGCCATGTGGGCTCGCCTAAATGTCAACAAGCAGTTATTCATCTACGCCTTAACTGTGGCCGGTCTGCACCGCGACGATATGCAAGGTATTGTCTACCCGGCCATTTATGAAATCCACCCGTGGTCTTTCTTTGATGTGGACACCATTGAGGTAGCTGAGCGCCATAGAATGCACGACTTCCATCAGGTCAAGAAATTGGACAACATTTACAATGTCGCCATCAAGTCCAACTACACCAATGTCTACGGCAACTTGCACAATGCTCACGAACTCGCCTACTTCCTGGAGGATGTTGGTCTAAACGCTTTCTACTACTACTACAACTTGGACTATCCATTCTGGACCAAGGGTATTGAGGGTAGCGAATTGAACAAGGACCGTCGTGGTGAGTTCTGGATTTACACTCACTTGCAATTGTTGGCTCGTTACTACTTGGAGCGCTTGTCTCACGATATGGGCGATATCGAGGTCTTCGACATGTACGAGTCTGTTCCCCATGGCTACTACAGTGGATTGCGTTACTACACCGGCGTGAACTTGCCCAACCGTGACAACGGCTACAGCTTCTATCACCCAGAAAACATGGAGCACATGCGCATGATCCATCTGATTAGCATGCGTATAATGAACTTTATCAACGAAGAACACAAGGATGATGTTGAGGCGGTTAACAAGTTGGGCAACCTCTTGCAAGGCAATGCTGATAGTGTTGATCGGAAATACTATAACAGCATCAGCAAGTTGTACAGGGACATAGTGAACGACGGCATTTCATATGGCAAATACCACGAAACTTTGCCAACTACCTTCATGCATTACGAAACCTCTCTGCGCGATCCTCTTTTCTTCCAGATCATGAAGGACATCATGCACTTCTATTGGCACATGGCAGAGACGTTCCCCGAATACACCGTTAAGGACTATGTCTTCGAGGGTGTGAAAATCGACAAAGTTCAAATGCCCGATCATCTGACCACTTACTTTGAATACTACGACTCTGACATCAGCAATGGCGCAAACGTTGAGGTGCCCGTAGAAGGCAGCAATGATCCATTGGTGAACTTTGGCCGCAACTCACAACACGGCGGCAACAGCTTTGTGATCAAGGCACGTCAATACCGCTTGAACCACAAACCATTCCAGTTCCAAATGGATGTGACCTCTGACAAGGCGCAAAAGGCTGTCGTTAAGGTATACCTTGGTCCCCAACAGGTTGGTGAGAAATACGACTTCATCGAAAAGAACTACATGAACTTCTTCGAACTGGAACATTTTGTTGTTGATTTGGTGCCAGGCGTCAACGTGATCACCCGCAACTCAGACGAATTCAGCTGGTGGGTGGAGGATAGAACAACCTACTTGGAATTGTACAAGAAGGTTATGGATGCCACCAACTCGGACTACAAATTCGCCTTGAACCAAAAGGAGGCTCACTGCGGTGTGCCCCAGCGCTTGATGTTGCCCGTTGGTAAGAAGGGTGGTATGCCATACCAGTTCTTCTTCATGGTGTACCCATACCATGAACCAGCAGTCAAACAGTACACCGGCTACGATCCAATCATCTCTTGCGGCATTGGATCTGGCGCTCGCTGGGTCGACTCGCTACCATTTGGCTTCCCCTTCAACCGTCCAGTCAAGCATGGTTACTACTTCGAAGTGGACAACTTCCACTTCCTACCAATTATGATCCACCACAAGGAGGACACTACAAATGTAGTCTAAGCACAAGTTCGGGATTCAGTTTGTATACCAATTTTTTTATTTTTTTATTTTTTAAAGTTGCTTTGAATTTATGTGTTCCATAGTATCGATCTGTATTTAGCTAAATAAACGATTTTTGTATATAATAACAATCTTGCATGTATTGAAATTGTCGGGTTCACAACGGAGAACTTTGGTTGCTAGAGTTTATTTGTTGACAAGGGCACACTTGGACTATAAACATCATTCCTTCTGATCCCAACATAAAGGATAATTGCTAAACTGTAGGGAAAAACGTGGCAGGAATGAAGTGGTGGCGGAGGATGTCAGTTCTGGAGAATCCAACAGGGCTGGTTAAAAAGTGCGTTGCAAGGTGCTTATGAGTAAACGCACGGCACACACTTAGCTAACATGAGACCTATCTGTTCAAATAGAGTCTACGTATAGCCAAAGCTATATCGACTCCCTCTTTTCGCGGTGTTACCGACTTGAGGGTGTATTTCCAAAGGCCCTGATTTTCCCTTAGCCACCCGAGTAGATTTTTACTAGTGTTGGGAAGAACAGAGTACTTTACAGAACGACACCCCTATTGCGAATGTCGACTGGCAGTAGATAAACGACTATTAAGCGATTATCGATTATCGATGCTATTGCGAGTGTCAATTAGCGACTGTGAATACTTTTTAATCGCTCATCCTTCTATTGCTGTTTTTTAGTCGTTGGAGTTTGCGTTTATAAAATTTACATAAGAAAGTGGTACTATAATGGATAAAAAGTAAGTCAATTGAACTGGAAGTTGTAAAAAATTGTGAAATATACATATGCATGTATGTGTCTGAATTACAGATCAAAAATTATAAGCAACAAAAGGCAACTTGCGCGGTTGTTCGTACTGATGCAGGAGAGTGAGGACATAGGCAAAGGAATTTCCGGAAAGAGTAGGGTAGGAAGCTCCGCTTCTATTGGAAAAGATACATATACAATATTTCTTGTGCATATAACTCCGGCTACGCCATCCACAGTGTTTTTGCGCAGAACCAACATCAAAAGTTTATACAAAAAAACTGCATAATTTATTAATTGACTAGTGCTCGGAAATTTGAAATCTTTATTTTAAATTAAAGTTGAATTCTTTCAATACACTTGTTATGTTGTTATGTTAAAGTTTTTAAACTCGGGTCACGCGTTTGGACACAAAAACCCAACATCATTGTACAAAAAACTTAACCGTACCGTATTTCTTAAACTTCCATAAAGTTTATTAATGAGGAAAACAGCTTTTCCTGCAAATCATGTAAAGCCTAAAAACCGTGAAGCATCGGGAACGCAACTTCTATTCATAAAACTCACACATGTACATACACCTTCCAAGTCCAAGGGATCCGACGAATCTCGCAATTCCCTCCTTGCTTCAGCCAACTCTACTAATCTATTAGCTTCCGCATCATCTTCCTCATCACTAAACCATATTTCAACTGTGTCCATTTTTTAAATTTTATAATAAAAGCAATTATTTTAAAAATGATGTAAATAAAACACTCAAGAAACAAATGTAAACAAACAAACAGCTGTTTACAATTCTGTCAACCATTCACAATAGTACAAATTTTTATCGATCAAGTTACACAATAGCAAAATAAAGATGATCGACTCGATCGACAAATTTCTATTCTACTGCCAGTCGACACTCGCAATAGGGGCCCGAGTTCTTAAGTATCGATACTTTAAGGATCGTGTATTTTTAAGAGTACACTTAGGTCTCTTTTTATGCGGTTTTTAATTTATGCGGTTTTTCAAACCATTTTTTCGTTGCAGCGATTTTCTTTTTTTGAGAGTTTTTGAGAGTCCCCTTAGAAATGAAATTTCCACAAACTACGACCATTTCATGGATATTTCTACACTTCTCCGTTTGTGTGTCAGTATAATGATTGGACTACTTACCCCACACTTTCTTACAACATCTCAGGCGACAAAACAAATTAAGCGGCTAATTTGAATAAATTCTTCTTGAAATTAAAAGCATACAATTTTTGTTTCTTTGGTTTATTTATTTCTTATTAATATGCCACTATTTAAATCATCATTTTATTTCACTTAAACTGCTTGTCTTTAATTATTACCTTCAACTATTCGCTTTACTTAGTTTATGCTTTGCTTAAATATTTACTTAGGTTCTATGAAATAACATTTGTAGTTGACTGTTTAGCTCTCTTGTGAGCTATTTAGAGACACATAGCTTGTATTAGGGCATCCAGCAAAGAGCTGTGTCTTTACACTCGCTGCCTTTTCCTTGAAATAAAGTATTTTCCATACTTTCATACTTTCTGCCGCCCTGCCAATACTTTTTGATTCTGTAGTGTAATGTTTTGATTTTATTGAAAGTATTGCGTTACTGAGAATCACTTTTGCTCACTTTGCTGCAACGAAATTCTCTGCATCTTTGTGTTTTCTCTAGTATAGCCTATTAGTAATTATGTTCAAGCTGTGTTTTATTTTTAGGGTTTTTGTTTTTTTATTTAAACTCTTTATGGTTTGTGTGTGTTAAATTCCTGTAATTAAGTACAATAAATATTTAATTTTGTTAGTTTTATGTTTTTTTTTTTTTAATTTTAAGCTGCACTCATTTATTAAAGATGTCGCAAAAATTCGCACACTAAAAAAATATGCAAACAAAAAATGCATTAGTTAGCTATTATTTAATTAAAATTCAGTATTTTGTATATTTCGGCAGTTTTTATAGTTCATTTCGAAAAATAATTTCAGTTCTGTTAGCAGTTAAAAAAAATGCTGAAAATGGACTCTAAATTATAAATTCAATAGGACTGCATTGGATACTTCTGCTTTTCTACGTTAAGTCGGCCAATGTCAGATTTCACCTGTTTGAAAGAAGTGACACCACAGTTTAATGCTGCCTCCGAACGAAAGATCAATTTTATAAGAATCGTTTTTATTGCCTGTTACCGATTTTTATACTTTTGCTTTTTATTAGTCGAACCAAGGATCAATCTTTGGTTCCGCGGGCTGTTAAAGTGTGGACTAAGCTGCATGTGGACTAAGTATTTACTATATATGAGGAGCCAAAAACCAAAAAAAAAGAAAACCACTCGCCGTGGCCATTTACGGAAATTCCCATGAAGTCCTGTCAAATAATTCTGCCATTAAGCTGCTGGTTGCTACATTAATTCCATGAAAGCGGTAAATTCAATCGATAAGCTTCTAGTGGTTCGCTTAAACTTCCAGGAGAGGTGTTTTGTTTTAAACCGAATGATACATACAAGTGGAATAATTGGAGTGATTGAAAAGAGCACTGGTAATATCATAACTTCGTTTCTTTCAAAGAGGTATAGATAGAGACATATGATATAGAGGTATGTGTTGCGACCACGAGGTCTATTGTGCCCTGAACCATTAGATTCCAGATATTTGTAGATAGCTCCAGTGGCTAACGATTATAGGAGTTCAACACTTGACGAGAGTCTCTTCGAACGAATGAAAGGGCGAAACAATTTGTTCCTCCAGATCGTAAGCTTATTTAGGTGACTTCTTAGTGTACAGTGACCTGTCAGACTAATTTCCCTATATATTTTAAGATTGTAGACCTTCAGTGTTAAGCCAGTATTTCTCTCTGGGATTGTTCCTTTTCTTCCTTGATGGTGCTGGGTCCAAACGCAAGGATGTGCCCATAGGAGACTGTTCTATAGGCGTAGTTCAGCTACCTATGTGTTTGTCGATGCACTCAAGAACCAAGTAGGGTTTGACTATCACTCAATATTAGCGTTTTCTCAATACGCTAATTCCGACGTAATTTTTAATTCAGCGTTATACTTCACGAACTACCCTCTAGCGGTGATCACTACGCCGTCTGCATAAGCCTGTCAGCGGATGTCATTGAGATATCAGTCAGAGTCAAAAGGAGGTCATCCACAACTAAGCTCCAAAAGAGAGGTGATAAAACTCCACCCTGCGGGTATCCTCTTCTTGTTAGGATGAAGCTGTATACGCTGCCGATATCGGCTTCGGCTATTCTGGTTTGAAGAAGTCTAGTTATCCATCTATGGATATATTCCTGTACATTTGGTTTCTGAAGTGTCCGGTCAACTTGAATATGAGAGGTGTTATCAAAAACTCCTTCAGTATCGATGCTATTGGTACAGCAGTTGCAAAGAGATCCTGCACAGCGGAGGCTTCGATTTCAGATCAATTCAAAATTACCTTCATATGGACCCAGAACATAGGGCATGTATGGAAATGAGACAGTAGTAGAAGTATCGGGGTGCGATTCTGCACTCAATGTTCTTCGCGAAATAGACATCAGCTAACTCGAAAGCAAAGCAAAGGTGAATCAGATCGGAATCGTATACGTATACCACCAATTGGGTTTAAGTTTTGCGCGAGTGTGTGATAACAAACCGGTGAAATTTTGTTTATTAAAAAAAGTGTAAAATGAAATATTGGAAAAAATAGAGCGACCGTTTACTAAAGACAAACCATTTGTACTTAAACGTTATTTTTATTTTTACCAGTGTTGCCATATTTCCAGTATTAACTGTAAATTACAGTTTTTAGACCAGCCTATAGTTTTCTAAATTACCGCCTGGTACTACAAGTTACTGTTTTCTTCAAATTTAATATTTGAACGAATAAATTAAAATAGGACCTTAGTATTTAAACAAAATTTGTAAGATAATAAAGTGCGAACGTTGCAGCGTTTCGTCTATTGAGAAATATGGTGTCAATTGCATTCCAGTAATGGTAGTGAAGGTTACATTTATTTTTGGTTGAAAATACAGTTTTTTTTGCAACACTGATTGCTACTGATTTATTTGTCATTTATTTTATGAATATTAATACAGCTGATGGTGCTCCGTTTCTGGCTGACACTATTTTGTATGTAGTTTTTCTCTATGAATTCGTCGCTTTATTTTTTTATAAATTTTTAATTGTTGCATTTTTTTATTGGGTTTTTTTTTATATGTATGTACATATTTAATACACATATCTGTAGTTTTTAACGCCTCACGAGTTTCCCATTTTTATTTTAAATATTAATTCTTCTTTACAGAATTTTCATAGTTCGTAAATGTTTTTGGTTTTCATGAATTTTGATCAGGACTTTTGATTTACCACATAACAAAGTTCTGACAACCAAAGAAAACTCAGTATTTTTTTTTTAATCTATGTCAAATTCTAAGTTTCACCATTTGCGGGATTTTGCAAATCAATTTTGTTGATATCTCAAAAATTATTGCAGTAGCAAAAATGTTTCTGGTCGTTTCGTTTTTTTAAAAGATACGTTCGTTCATTTTAAAAGTTACGTTTAAGGCTGTAAAGAAATATATAAAAAATCGAAAAAGGGAAAATTTAAAGAATTTCTAAATTAAAAAATTCGTAAAAGCAATGCCAATTGTTCGCAAATTTTTTTACACAACGCTAATTGATTTTAAAAATTCCTGAAAATACCCGAGTGGTTTTTAAAAAGATATAAATCTATGAAATTATGAAATTTTTTTTTGCAAACTCTGAATTAAGTTATGCTAAACAATTTTAATTTAAGCTAGATTTATTTTTATTTTAGAGTTTGAAATAAAGTTTTTTTATAATTAAAAAAAAAAAACCTTGAAAATTTCAGAATCTTTAAAGGTCAGTGAGTAGTATTGCACAAAAAAATTTAGCCAAACATTTTTAAAAATTTTTGCTTTTACGTTTATTTTATATTCTAAATTCTGTAATTTTTATATTTTTCTCAATTTTCCCCTAATTTTCTTATGTTTTTATTTTAAGATTTTTTAGATATATTTTTTAAAGCCACAAACATTATCTTTAAAAACGAGACCAGACATTCAAAAAATTAACTTGCAAAACCTGGAAAATTGTGAAATTTTGAACTTTCGAAACATTTTTTTTTTATATTCTTTCCGTTGACAGAAAATCGTTTTACGGTAGAAAATAGTTCTCACCAAAATTCGAAAATGGTCGATTTGACAAGGGGTTGAGCCGCATGTGCATACATACACAGCTGGGTCTTTTAGCAAAATAACTTATCTCTCGGTGTCGACTATTTCTACCGAAAACCACTAAATTGTTGGACGACCATGAAATTTTTTTAACCATTACCTGAACATGAATAAAGTTAAAAATTTGTATCTTCATAAGAACTATGTAGTTAAAAATTAAACTTTTGTATGGAAATTTATTTTTTTTCCACATAAAATTGAACGTTCTGTATTCACGTGTATAAGCCTTTCTGTAAAAAGTCCACAAATACATATGTACGTATATGTGTACCTAGCATATTGCATTTACCCTTTTTATTAATTGCTCTTTTTTCTCCAAATTGTTGCGTTATTATGCCTTTATGTTTATTTGCTTAACATTATATCTTAATTGTATTTATTTTAAATTTAATTGAGCTGCAGCTTACATTTTTTGCTCGGTGCTGCGAAATTGTAACGCTGCCACATTTGCCTATAAATGTACTTTCTTTTTCTGTGAGGGTATAATGTATTTGAGAAACTATTCTTTTTTATTATATTTATTTACACATAAATATACCTACTATACATATATAACTCTGTTATTATATAATTATCTACTATTTACTTACATACAGACATGTATACTTTATATACGATGCAGTTTTGTGTTTTTTTTCAGCTAAATGTCAAGCCAAATAAAGTAACATTTATTTATTCGCACATGCACATATATATTGTATAAACACTTTACATAAGTTTGTATGTGGCATCACAAAAAACGAGGTGTATTAAAATGTCTTTTTTCTGCTGTTCTGTCAGCAAAACAATTCAAAGCTCTATACGTAGTGTATTTGTTTAACACTTTTACCCACTTTTCACTAAAAAAAAATAATAATTAAATATTTTTTTGTTACATTAATTAAAAATTGCCTAAGTAACATTCAAGTGTTTCCTAATTCTACTACTGTTTCGCTTATTTTTTATTGCAAATATTTCTTATTGTACATATAGTCATTGTGTGTTTGTAGTAGTTTTGCCTACAATTATTCCTTTACTTAAATTTCTATGTGAATTTGTAGCTGTGAGCAATTTACCAGTATGTAATTACCCTGCAACCAAAGTTCCCGAAATCGTAGCGATTTTTTTACGAATCTGCAAGGAAAATTATACGAAGTGGTTGACACGAACAAAATAAGGAAAATTCTGAAAAAAGTCTGCAAGAAATTCTTCGCATAGCAGCATTATTTTCATTTCTGTACCGATTTTCTTCCGAAATTTCGTTAAAGAATCGAAGTGTGCATAGTTTATTTCATTTTAGAAAATTCGGCAAAAAAAATCGGATGGGATCTTTACGAATACTTTAAAATTGCTCTACGATTCAGAATACTCTGAAAAAATGGTTTGCAGGGTACATATGCATGCATACGCATATACATAGGTATGTATTACAGTATATTATGTGTCATTAACATTACAAATCACGTGTGTATGTATGTATGTATGTATGTTTTTATGTATGGATGTATTTACAAGTTCAAAGTTTAGCATTTAATTTATGTTAGTTTATTCACATTGCATTTATGTATGTATGTGTATGTAATATGCATTCGTGTCGATTATAAAGGATTGAGTGTTGACTTTAAAGTGAAAATATGAGTTTGATCTTTACTTTTGATTTAAGTTAGCCGCACTTGAGAAATTCTAAAGGTATTTTTGTGTAAATTTATATTATATTTATAATTTATATTTAGGTATTTATTTATGTTCATTTTATGTGTTTTGTATGTAAATGTATGTACATATGTAATAGTAGATAATAGTTTATTTAATACATGCATATGCACTTGTATATATACATACGTATGTGAGTGTATTTGCCTTGTTTAATTGCAAGGTTTACAGGGCAGGCGAAAACGAATTATTTTCAAATTATTTAAATAACTTTCCCAGAAATCAACACGGAAAATGTATATTCAACTGAGGTGTTCAAATGTTAATCGAGTTAATTAAAAGTTAAAAAAAAAAATACACAAAATAAGTAGACAATGAAGTGGAAAATGCGTTTACTTAGTGCTAAATTATCCCATCTGCAACCTTAAGGACATTTCGATCTTTGCCACTAGCAATTTCTGCCTCGGATAAATGCCCCTTGGTCGCGTACCTAATACCTGTGGGGCATATCTTTTTTTTTGTATCCGGAACCAAGTTATTTGAAAACAAAACGAGTCCCTGGATGATTTATTTAAACTAAAATGTAGTCCCAAATGATAGATAGACAGTTTAACATAATTAGTATTTCTTTAACTCTTTTATAGAATGGAAAATTTGATTTCCACTAGAATAACATCAAAACACATAAAATCGTAAGTATAAGACTATTTACATATATTGAGGTTTTTGGCAATTGAGTGATCCATAATCATGATATCGGACAGACCAGCAGCATTAGTAGCGTTGGAATGATGCAAGACTTTGAGAGGACTAAGACCTCAACCAGCCACCGACGTAAACTCAAAGACCGTGTCAGCTGCCACGACCTATCTTTTGGGATTATCATGTTAACGAAAACGGTTCCGTATTTTCTTTATCTTTCTATCAACAGAACCTTTATATATAAGTCAGGGGCTCAGCTGTGACACGAGTACATTTAACTGAGTCACTCATCAAGAAATCCCTGCTCCAAAGCTGAACTGGAAAATAAATCATACCTGCTAGAAACAAAATATATTATTGCAATAGAAAAACTCAAAATCATAACATAATGCAACCTTGATAATACAGAATTTGCCAGCACAACTTCTTTCATTGCAAATGTACCTACATGGATTTTGCAAAGTGTAAGAAAAGTGATAAATAAAGCTTTTGAAAGCTTGCAAAGCTTTTGCAAATATTTTTCCGTATCCATTAGCTATTGTAAAAAATCGTGTTTAATATAAAATCGGTTACATTTGCCGCCAGTGCGATTTTTGTGAAACGGCCAAGAGGCAGGCTTGGCCATTAGAGGGTTAATTATTGAATTATGGATACGGACGGCAAGTACCGAAGGGCGCTCCGTTGGTGGCTGGTTGAGCTATAATACATAAAAAGTCGCAATAATGTACTGAACAAACTAGGAACCCATAGCAAGTTTACCTTGTAGTGTGAGCCAGATTATGGAGGCTTTGAAGGAAATAAAAGAATTGGTACTCTTGCGAGATGCAGAGCCCAACGGTGCCTGTATGGAACTCAGCCTGGTGTAAGGATTCTCTAATTAAGAAAACAAATACGTATAACCAAAATTATAAGTGGTGGAATGTATGTACGCAAGTGATCGTGGGTTAAGAGTTGGGACAACAGATCATTAAGCCCTAATACTGATAATACTTTTTGATGTTTATTCTTTACTCTCGGTAGGTTAACCCGTCACGAGTAAATAAAGACGAATTCAAAAGTAGTACTAATCACAACAATTCTAATCAGCTGTTCCAACAACACAGCTCGTTGCTATATTATGGGACCTATTTTGGATCATTTCGGAACCTTTTCGGTACGACTTTGCGGCTAGTTAGGGACATCCTACCTCCTGTTATCTTGCCACGATACTGACTAGTATCCTGTTACGATCGTATTCATCTCCAAATGACCTAGGATATAATTTTAAAACTCAGTATTTAGGGGTTTCTCTTAAACCGGAACAAACCTTGAAACTACGAAAAACTGAAAGCTTTTTTTGAGAGGTCAAAATTTGTAAGAATTTAAAAAAAAGACCCGGTTTGTTCGAAAAAATGCGGTTTATTCGATATTTGAAAAATCAAAGTTTCAAAAAAGCCGCCTATAGATATCTAAAAAAATCGGTGGACACCGGTTTGGAAGCTTAATATAAACAAATTAAAAAAAAAAGAAAATGGTTTACATCAACGCATCATTAAGCAGTCTTCTTATACATAGGTATGTATGTACGTAACACGCAACGTGAGAAGTCGCAGCCTGCCATTTTGAAATATTTTTCAAGTAAAATTGTAAATTTTAGCCTCAGCGTATGCAAAACTAAATTTTTAGTTCGCGATTTTCGGAAGCCTTACAACTACTTAGACCAATTTTGATTCTAATACCCGCTAAAATACTTTTACGTACGTATGTATGCAAATACATTACATTGGTGGCATATTTTGCGCTTTTTAATTTGCATTTGGGGCTGCTTTTCGCACTAACACATTTAAAATTTATTTTATTAATTTCTTTCGCTTTTTGTTTTCGCCACGTTTGCATTTTATGATACACTCAATATGCGTTCAGTTTGCTGCTTAAAAATGTAATTTGCATTTAATTAGTATTTCGAATTTGTGTTTCCTTATTTACTCTATTTATTTATGCTTTTATTTGTTTGCAGTTATTTTTTGTAATTTTTGTTTTTTTTTTTGTTTTCTGTTTTTGCTTATACATAATGCATGTCATTGCAGTATTTGTTTTTGTAGCGGTTTGCCTTTATTGTTGCCATCCAATATTTCAATTAATTTAATTATTATTATTTTTACATTATTCAAGTAATTCGTTTATCAGTTTTTGATTTTTTTTTTGTGTTGCAATTTTTAGTTCATGTTATAGATATTCAATTTAATTTATTTCTTCTTTTCACAAATTTCATTTTATGTGCAAAACCAACCTTTACTATTTTGTAGTTTATTTGGTTTTGTTGCGGTTTTTTTGTTGCTGTAATTTAATGCTTTTCTACTGGTATAGTTTGCATGCCGTATTGGTATGTCCATCATCCCCTCGTAGCTGCAGTTTTTCTGGCTGCTGCGTCGGCTGCTATTTGCTTAGCAGTCGTTGCTTTTTTGTTTGCCATCACTGAGGTTGTCACTAATTTATGCGCCGCTACGAGGTCACAGCTGGCGCCTTGTTTGCCGTCCAGCAGCGGCTGCTGATGCTGCTGCTGCTGCTGTTGCTGCCACCTCCACCTCCATCGATGCCTTTTCCCACGCAGCGAACGCTGTCTGACTCACCAACAAACTCCCCGCCACCGCTGGACGCATGCCAGCAGCTAATATTATTAGCTGGATTCCATGGCCTGTGAGATCGCCCATCATGCCGCCGTGGCATACGCCCACCGCCAGCAAAGCGAATGCCAAGCCAATGACCGCGGTTACGCCTATCCGCTTCTTGCTGCTGCAGCTGCTGCCACTGCTCCCGCCGCCGCCAGTGAGCGCCGAATTGTCTGGATCGCCGTTGATGCGCTTCGAGCCCTCCAGGCCTAGCAGGTTGGGCGAGATGGTGGTGGGCGGCGCTATGCTCAGCAGCAGGCGTTGTTGCACGTTCTTGTGGAAGACATGCAGTATGGAGACTTCGCAAAGCAGCAGAATGCTCGTCGTTTGGTATTTGGGCACCGTTTGGAAAAATCCCTGAAGCACCTGACTGTGTGGATAGATCTCGAGGGAAGAGTACGTGGAAGAGCCTTCAAAGGCAACATGATTAATGCGCTGGAAGGGGGTCTTGTAGATCTGCATAATTGCGGAAGAGAATGAAAAATAAAAAAACAAAAACAAATCGTTAGAAGTTGGCGTGACAGTGAAAATCTTGAACTCGCCTTTCCGTCACTTTACTCACCTTGCGGCCATTCATGTACCATGTTATATTAGCTGGCGGATAGGACGGTCCCACTGTGCAAACGGCCTTGAAGTTGTCATTCGCTGTGATGACCTTCTTGTCCACCTGCATGGCCGGCTCATCGTTGGGCAGTTCGATGACCTGCATGTGTGCGGCGCGTATGTCGGTGTGGAAGAGTGGAGCATCTTCGGACACTTCGCACTGGTAGTTGCCGGTTAGTTCGCGATTGACGCCCTTTAGCGTCACCGAGGTGGCATCTGAATTCGCAAGCTGTAAAGAGTGAAGAGAAAATGAGTTAATTACTTGAGCATCAGCGTGGTGTGACAAAGTTTTTGTCGGGCATTCTGCCAAAGAAAAAACAAAAATAGTTTAATGAAAGTTGTTGAAAAGTTTGCAGCAAGTCACTGCCGGATTTTTCAAAGTCATTAACTTGCGCTGTGTGGTAAAATTGTTGTACGGCTTCATGGTTAGGAAAATACTAAATGAATTTTAAGTGAAGTGGTGCTTTTCGATTTGGCATTGTCAAGGGGAGCATACAACGCATTTATTTAAGCTGCTTAAAGATTGTAATTATTAAACTCGTGTTATCAATCACTATATGTCCCAGTCGTGTGAGCACACAAGTGTGTACCCAAATGTTCAACTTGAATCACATTTCTTACAATTGGCATATTTACCATAAAATACCAAACAATAACTTGGTTGAAAAAACCATGCTGCTTTTGGCTCCGCGAAAAGTTCGGACGTTTCTAAGGCCTTTGCTGGGCCCATGGGGTCAATTTAACATTTCGCGCGAGCGCACATAGGGATGAATCGAGAATAGATGAGGACAACAATTTTTACTCAATATCTATTTCACAGATTTCAATGGAAGTTGGTATTTAGGGGTCTTCGTTATCACGGATTTCGAAATATATATATTAAGTTTTCAATATTCAAAATGGCGGATCAAATATGGCGGACTTGACTTTCTTAAAACATTAGTGATTATTATGAAACTTGGTATTCAGGGGCATTCGTTGTCACTGCTTTCGAAGCTGGTATTATATTTTTAAAATTCTAAATGGCGGACCCAATATGGCCGACGACTTTTTTAAAATAATTATGGATTGTAATGAAGCTTGATAGATAAGAACTCTCGGAGTCACTGATTATGAATTTAAAATTTGATTTCCAAAATTCAAATAATTATACATATGACGTATGAGTAAAATTTTGAATTTTAAAAAGATAATAACAATTTCGTAGTTAGTGACCCTGAAAACCCCTGGATTAAAATGTTCATAATAATCTATAGTTTTTTTTTTTTTTTAATTCGCCCGCCATATTGATCTGGCATTTTGAATTTCGAAATTTTTATATGATATTCGTAATAAGTGACCACGATGCCCCTACGTACGAAGTTTCATTGAAATCAGTCAAATATATATATGAAGTAAACATATTTGTCGCCCGAAGTTCTCGATTCGTCCCAGTAAGCGACCCAAAAAAAATATGCTCTATTTAATGAAGGGGGAAACAGGGGGACGAGTTCTTGATATTAGTTGCGTTTTTTTACTCATTTCCAGTAAAATCCAGTAAAAGTTTTTACGAATTTTCATGTTTTGGCGTTTTCGTACGCAAAAACTTGCAAAGTAGGAGAATTTGAGAGAGCGAAAAATGACAGTTGAAGTTGCAAGTTTTTACTGGAGTTTACTGCATAAATTTTTACTTGTAAGAATTTGCCAGTACGAAAAACAGCTGATCGCATGTTGCTGGATGAAATTTAAGCTAATAAGGAAACTGTTTGTGGGTTTTTATTGTTGAATTTCACAAAATAAACCTATTTAAATACAAAATATATTGTTTTATTAAGAATTTGCTGCGAATAAACAACCAATTTATCAGCTGTTCATGAAACTTGCAAATTGTTACTGGAAAAGCGTTCGCGTACTTTATTGCAAATTTTTTCTATGAGAGCGAATTCTTAGAAATAAAGTTACTGGAGAGTTTTTATATTGGAAATTTGTTGGATTTTCGAACTATTGAAGAGAGTTCACTGTACTCTTTGGAATTTTTTTTTATAACTGTAGTTATTATAAACATTTAAAAAATGTTTAAATAAAAAATGGTGTTTTATAAAACACATATTATAACCATTCTACAAGAAAATTTATTACAAACAAAAATCGCAAAATAAAGTACTTAACTAATGCGTCACTATCCATTTTGACACAACTTTTATTTATTAATAAGAATAAAGTTATAAGCGAAATTATTTTGTCACCGCTTCAAACAAAAAATTATTTAATTCAACGTACGATAGAAAGTCCTTTTTTGGGCTTCTGCTAAAGCTACTGTGCGATAAGATTGAAAGAATTTTTTATTTTTTTTTTTTTTGTCGTCGTAATTAGTCACTTTGTCCTTACATGGAGCATCATAAAAATAGCAATTCTTGTATGAGGCTTTTTTACACCAACCCCAGCTAATTTTCAGAAACTGGGTTGTCATGGCTGAAGCCTTCACACGACCCATAAACTGCATACAGCAGAGTGACCCCAATAAAGCATAATTTCTTTATATTGTGAATCGAACCCCATGCTGGTTAATTACCGCATCAAGCACATGGCCTACTCACGACCAGGCCTAGCGAACGCGGGTACGAAAGCAGATATTGCATATAGTCGGTCAACTATAGCGGCACACCCAGACGCTGCACTTAACTCCATTGTACATAATACATATGTAAATATTTAATAAATTTTAAAATGATTTTTTACGTATATAGTCTGCTGAGAATTTCGTCAGCTTTAGGGCCGGTGGCTCAATGTCTGATTAGCACAAGTCGGAGATAGATGCTCCGGTTAAATACAAAGACTGCTTTATCGATCACATGTTATATGCATGACCAGACATTGATCAACCGGCCCTTTATGTTCTCTCGTAAACTGCACATTTCATATCTGAAATTGCACAATTTTTCTTTAAAAGCCGTAAGCTTATTTAATTTTTAAAGCAAACCTTTTATTTTTTAATTCACATTAATATTAAACTTAAATATGCCTTACATATACATAACTTACATATGTAATTCGTAAGCCCTCAATTCAGTTATTTCAGTTTAAATAAAAAATTTCAACAAATTGCAGTTGTTTTTAATTGCAACTTGGACTGCCGCAAGCTATGCGAGCTTGAATGTGAAAGATCTACAATGCACCTGCGACCCACCGCACATACTACAAACATATGTACGCACCGGTATCGATAAATATGCGCATAAGTACAAGGTAAATACATAGCTATAAATGTTTTAATTAACTTTGTTGGGTGAAAATGTCAGCAAAACCTGTACTACAACAATCAATGACCCAAAAGGAGCAATAAGAATGGCGTAACTACTCAGTGAAATGCCTATGCAGATGCATATTACAGCAGTAATAATAAAAGAATCATTACACATGTGTACTAGGAATGTTAATCCCGGGATCCCGGCCTTTTCAACATCCCGAAAATCGCGGGATTCTTGGCAAATAATCCCGGGATTTTCCGGGTTTGCAACTTGCACTGATGAGGCATCCAAGGATCTTTTCTATGAGCACTTGGAGCGCACGTACGAGCGCTGCCCCCACCCCACCACTATATAAAAATCGTGCTTGGTGACTTCAATGCCAGGGTGGGCAAGGAAGGGATCGTTGGAGCCACCTTCGGAAAATTCAGCCTCCACGACGAAACCTTCGACAACGGACAGAGGCTGATTTTATGAATGTCTAGCTCATTATGCGTATAACAACTCGCGATAGTAAATTTTAAACACAAATATCAATATATTCGCGAAATTATGGGCCAAATAAATATATGGGGTATTCACTACGGTGTCGTAAGTGTCGTATTGTTGTATGTCGTAAACTTTAAACGCCTAAAAAATATATTAGGGGATTCGGAAAGTACCATCAAAGTCATATTATGCATTCTCGCAGTGTTAAAAAATAGTTGGTTGTGGTTTCAAGTTCTATAAACATTTATTTAAGCTTTTAAAGTTTACGACATACAACAATACGACACTTATGACATCGTTGTGAATCCCTCAATAGTAAAATTACGTTTTAAGTTTTTAACTCTGACGTCAGGAATACAAAAATGATTTAAAAAGTTCAGAAAAAAGAAGAAGTATGGATGTCAAATGAAAGAGGAAACCCTGTAGGATTAAAGCGGATTCAATTTGTTGGTGCACAAGGCTCCCAAGTATCTAAATTGTCCTTTTAAAACTTTTTCCTTGAAATTTCGCAACATTTGCTCTTGAAAAAATTATATGCTAAGGTCTCGATGAACTCGACAACATCCTCGAATTTCGTCCTTCTAGCTTTATCAGCTTAAAAATTATTTATTTGTCCTTGTGAATCAAAAAATTTTATTTAATTTTAATTTTTTTAATTCTAAAGAAATCGCCTCTTAAATTTGGTAACCATATTTTTATACTATGTACATTGCATTGAATTTTGTAAATACAAGGTCGTTTAAAATAAATCATGACGTCAGTGAGAAAAAATAAAAACCCCATTTTAAATAAAAAAGTAGTTTTCAAACCCACTTATTTATTATGTATTTTATTCCGGGATCAGAAAAAGCTCAAAAATTAACATCCCTAATGTGTACCTGTAATAATAACACATATTATTATACAAAATATGTGGAGGCATCGAAAGGCGGGCGCTACAGGCAAGATTGGCGTCGCATTTTTGCTGTCTTTGCTTCTTGCATCTCCTTTGTTGCAATTCTGTTTCTGAGATGCAATTGCCCTTGGCTGGATGTCAATGCAAGGACTACAAAAGCAAGCGAACGTAATTATGTCAATTGGATGAGTCCTTATGGTCAGGGCTATGTATTTTATGGTATCATGCTGTTGATGTTTGCCAATGGCGCAGGGTTTAATTGAGTCGAAATTTAAATTAACCGTTCAATAGTTCGTACTCAAGTGAAGGAAAATGAAAACATCAAAAATGAGCATATACACACAGACATACATATGTACGAGTATGTATGCAGATAATGATAATTTAATTAATTAATTTACACGTAGAACAATGACCGCAAAAAAGGAATTTAGTCTGGAAACATAACTATAGTGCACCAAAGTCAGTTAACGGTAAGAATGATTTGATAAAAACAATTATATTTGCTCTCGGTATGACCATGTCTATGTACCTATATAGAGTCCTACTTTACTTTAAATTCGCATATATGCATGTACATACAACATATATATTCAAATATATACATATACATATATACAT